TTTAATCGAGGGATTAATCGTTAATTTCCGCAGCCCTAGTATTTTTTTGCTATGCTGTGGAATAGGAACTCATAACAAACATACAGAGGGGGTTTTCTCAAATTTGACTGCAAAAGTAGAAATAAACAAAGTTTCTGCAGAGCCGCTGGGGCTTATTTTCCAGCTTCCAAGCTGAATCAGAACACAGGGGGTTGCAAGTGTGCATTTTGGATTTTACAATAGTTGCAGCTGCCTTTGCACACTCCCCTGAGGATGATGAGGAGGGGTGCTTTGTCTGTCCTTGTTGACAGACAAGGACAGACTCCTGTCCTTGAAGGTGTATTCAGATGCATTGACCTGGAGCAACCTGTGTCAGACATAAATAAGGTTACCAGTCTGGGTTCTCTCAAGAGTCCCCAACCTGTTAAAACTTTTCCAGTGCATTCAATGTGACAACCTTCTGGTACAATGCCTGGCCTAGTTCAAATGTTTACTCCCGCCAAGCATTTTGCTATATCCTACAGGGGGGTCCTTAACCACTTCCCGTCCATGGCCGTTCCTGAACGGCTGGACGGGAGCCTTATAGGAGCGGGAGGGCGTCTTAAGAAGTCCTGCATCTCCACCCGCTCGTGTGCAGCGTTCAGCGAGCACAAGAGTGGGGAAACTGTTAGCAATGTAAACAGCCAGCGATGGCTGTTTACATTCAAGCGATCAAGCGTCTCTAGAGACTCCCGATCACTTGTATTAGCTGCGGGTGTGCACCCAGATCTCTGCTTCATCAACTTCTCTTGGAGACCCCTGATGTCTCCATAAAGAGGACCTGTTATTTGAATTGGCTATCACATAGGGGATTTCTTATCCCGCTATGTGATAGCAATAAAGTTAAGTTTAAAAAAAATGTAAAATAAACATTGTAATAATAAACATGTTGCATATCGCCACGAACGTCGAGTGACGGCAATAATTTCAGGGCCATTAATTCTGATAAGACTAAACTGATGATCGGTAACAGCGTTTAAAGCGTCGCCTATGGCCAATTTTGGGTGTGGCCGTTTTCTGCGATTTTCGCGGGCGTGAACATTTTTACGGCTTGACATTTTTGGTGTCTATTTACCCGACGTGACCCCGTCTTTTATATTTGACCAAATAAAATTAAGGGACACAGGGTACTTAGGGTACTTTTTTGTTATATAGTAAAAAATAAAAACCCCAGAGATGATTAAATACCACCAAAAGAAAGCTCTGTGTCTCCAACAAATGGTATAAAATTCATTTCATTACAGCGTTGCATGACGGAATAAATGTCAGTCAAAGTACCGCAGTGCTGAACACTGCAAAATGGCCTGGCCAGGAAGGGGGGTTTAACACCCTGGTCTTCAAGTGTTTAAAAAGTCGGCTGTCCCTGAAGGTGGATGAGCCATTTCCTTTCTTAAGAAGACTTTCGGGTGTGTAAAGATCCTGTGAACAAGAAACCAGAAGCCCTCCTTAATACTTTTTTTTTCCCTTGCAGGTCCTGCCCTGCAACCTGCCTTTGCAACAATGTCCCTCTGCCCCACCTTAGCTGTCTGGGCCATGGATATTAGACAAAAATCCATCTAGCGCCTGCACTTTTTCTATGTCAGCTAGCTGGTGCATTGCCTAGGGTTATACCATTTAAATCCATAGTGACAAAAATGGCTAGCACACACACCATTAACCACCAAGGACCGATATACTACCCTGCTTCTCGGCCACTGGTTTTAACAGTCTGGCTGTTGAAGCCCATTTCCTGAAGCACAGGGACCTATCTGATTTTGTTATCCCTACGTTTTTAATAGCTGGAAAGTCAACTATTGTTTTTTTTAATATACTGTGTGAATAGGAACATATAGCACACATATATACAGGGGTTTTCTCAAATTTGACAGCAAAAGTGGAAATACAATTTAGTGGAAATGTCATACGGAGTTGTTTGATGTGTAAATCCCAGGAATGGATGGACAGAAATACAAATCCTTTAGCAGGTAAAGCATCTCTCATATATGCATCTAATTTGTGTATTTAGCATTTTTTTTCTGGAGTTCAACTTGTATAAAATCATTCATGCATATCAACTGAACCAGAATGATGTCTCATTAGATCATTTTGAGAGACAGAGTCCTAAGTGCAAAAAGCCATAGTAACCAATCGGGATTCAGTTTACATGGATTGGATTACAGTAAACTAAAATCTGTTTGGCAGCAATGCTCATTTTAAGTGATCCCATTTGTCTAACACTGACTGCCTCCTACAGCTCTTCTTACACATTTGTTATAGCAAAAATGCCAAAAATTATTGAATTATTTGAAACCGCCGGCTATGGACGAGTTTAGTTACCGTAGTTTTTTGCCATTTCACAGTACGGTAGCTTGCAAATTTGAAGCTTGACATGTCTGGTATCTAGTTTACCCTCCACAACCTCATCTTTTATATTTTACCAAAATATTGAGTATTATATTATGTTCCTGTGCACTCATTTGTGCAAAATTTGGGCTTGAGGAAAAAAAAAATAGCAACTGCCACCATTTTATTCTGCAAGGTCCCTGCTTTCAGAAAATATATAATTCTGGAGGGTTTTTAAGTTTTCTTCAAACCTAAAATGTACATTTTAACTTTTGTGCAAAAAGCCCCTGGCAGTGAAAGGTTTTAAAGCACCATAAATAATTCAAGTCAGTGTTTACATTAGGGCCACTGATAGGGGGTACAGGCAGCCCTCCCACATAGGGGGCCTGGTAGTGGCGGCACCAGGGGGTGCTTGAGTGCATTGGCATATGACAGAGGTGACTTTTGATTATCCTGTGACTCGTGCTTCTCTGGGGGCTCAAGGGTGGGAGAAAGCCTGTCACTTTGGTTCCCTGTTAGGTAGGTTGTGAGGGACCCCATGGTTTCTGATTGCGGCCCTGGTTAGCATTACTGTTGTCCTCAGCTACAGTATTTGTAACTAAAGTGATAGAAACCTGGTAGGGAGGAAAACAGGAATACTGGCAGCAGTAGAAGGTTCTAACCTTTCCCTACTCTATATTCAAAACTATTTTAAAAAATGGGTTGTTTTTTTTCCTAAGAAATGTTGATTTATTTTTTTACCTTTTGATGTTTTAGCCTTTTTTTGTTTTACGCTTATGTTAATGGAGATTAATTAAAAAAATATTGTGTAGAACAAGAGACATTTTATAGTAAGTTTCCATTTGTTTTGGGACTTTTCCTTCCTGATGATAATAATATGGAAAATGTAATGGGTGTTTGATCTTTTCCAAGATTGTGAATGCTGATACAAATGTGCTTTATAGAAATAGTAAAGATGTCCCTTTAGGGCTTGTTCACACAAATTCAGTGCGTGTCACAGTGAAAACTCAAGCTGGGTACACATGGTTATATTTCCTTTCATTCTCCCAGGCTGAATGAAACAAATATGACAGATTCCTCCTTCCATGGTAACAGTGTGGATGAACGATTGTCCCACCGTGTACATTGTATTTTGACAGCGGCACTGGCCTCTGTTAGAGTACCTGAATAACAGCTGATTGGCTGCAAGCACTTTATGGCCAATGATTTTCCATCACGTCCCTTTGGCTTAAAGTCTATCTAATGATCGGCTTCTATCGAGGATAAGACCACCCACAGGTTGAATTTTGCTCCACATATAGCCAGCTTTACAGTGACAGCACCATTCCAAGCGTTGCTTTCATGTAGTATCTTTTTTCTATAATGCAGTTGGCATTGCCCACTGTTCTAATAGGTTTATATTACTATTAGACATTGTTCCTTTCCATTTTTTTTTTATTGCAGATGCTCTTATTTTTTTCAATGTTCAACAAATATTGATGAGATTTTTGCTTTGTGTCTGAAGTTGTGTCTAATTGCATCTTCAGTGGTGGCATGCTTTCTATGACGTGCATCTTTGTAATAAAAGGCTGTCCTCATCTACTGTGAAGAGACTAAGAAGTGCAGATTTAGGCATTCAGGATAGACTGCATCATTTCACTAATTAAACCTTTTCATTTGTGCTTCTGTACTCTTTTAGACCATGCGATTAGAAAAAACTCAATAATTTCTCATTGCCATGACATTTTCCATCTTCCTCTTTCATTTCTAACCATGTTCCACTTGTCGCTTATATTCTTGCTTCTCTAAATGGTATCTAACCCTAACAATTGACGTCTCTATTTTTGGTTCCTTTCGGTCTGTTAAATACACCATCGAAAATGTTTTGTTAGATCTGTTTGACAAGTGTGAAAAAAAATGCCTGTTGATCCAGTGACTCCAGAACCCCTCACCTATATGTTATGGAGAAGAGGGTGATGTGTTCTGTAGCCTTGTCCTAAGGTGGTAACACTGTTTCTCTATAAATATAGTATGGCAAGTCAGCATTGTCACCCTAGGACAGGAAGGGTGTTACTGGTTTACCAGATACAAACAAAGGGGGAAAAGCATCAGAAAAGGAAACTAATGCAGTCACCACATCTGCTAAGCTGCAACATATTACGTTCTTATTCTTGGTTTGAAAACATTTTAAATATCAGACCTGCCGATGCTTGGATGTGGCGTACCCAATAAGGTTAGTTCTCTTTTCACTATAAAAAAAGGGAATGGTCATCACCGTGTCACACAGTGGTATGGAAATTCTCTGAATTAAGTAGAAAGTGTTTCTGCCTTTCAGAATCTCTTGTCATCTTATTCTAGGTAATGCTTCCACAGCTTGGTAGCCTCTACAACACCTCAAGGAGCTCTAAATTCCAGAGCTTTATTTGTTACTATCAGGTTATGCACAGGCACCTTATTGCAGAATATGTGAGCACGTTGCAGGTAGTGGAACATTATTATATACAGAATAATTGAATTAATGTATCTCTTAAGCTACTTAAGACACATTAGTATGTAATGTAATATATAAGTGTCCTAAAACAGGTTATTTGTGACTTAAAATGTATAAATTATATGTACAACCTTTCTTGTGCTGGTTTTAAGCAGCAGGTTACACTTATGATAAGTCTGTTCCATTTCAGAGCCTGGAAGATTGCACAGGTCATCTCACAGTGATGCCTATAGTACTTCTAGTGAAAGCCCATCCATTGTATCATCAGACCCAGAATTTAGACAAGGTAATTACAGATATTAATGTTAATTTTTCTGTTTTGTTGTGTGCTGCTAAGACATCCTAAATAACTTAACTCCCCTTAGATCTATTTTCAGCATATATGTAACCTGCAAACATAAGCAATATACAGTAATAAGCACATAGCCAGGCTCTGAAACTTTATGGAAAACCTGTTTAGGGTGCAAACGTTTCGGGAGGTTTTACCCTAATCCCCTTTTACACGTCATTGCTATGTAAACATGCATGTATTAAAAATAAATAAATGGAACCTGTCAGAATGGCTGTCACCTGTCACAGCTAAGTCTTGCATCAGACATAGTTGTGCACCCATTTCAAGAAGCCTGGCAATGTTAGCCTTTAGTGCTGTGGAGGATCTCCACGGTTTTGACAAATGATAGCCCTTCTTACAGGTTTACTTTAAAACTACCTTATGACTATTTGTGCTGTACTCTTGTATATATTATATAAATCTGTATAAACTATGCACTCTGTGTTTTGGTTCCATTCAAAGTGCTATGGGGGTGTACGCTGTTGAAATCTGCTTTGCATATAGCCAACGGGTATAAAATTAAACTTAGAGACACTAAACTCAGGAGTTAAATCTTAAAATGCATTCAAGCACCTTAACTATTAACAAAAATGTATCTTATTTGTGTATCACTCAGCTGTAGATCCTCAAATCATCTCTGAATTGGTGCTGACACTGTCCTTTACTCCTGTGATGGACTACAATCTCAATACAAATTGGTAAACGAAATGTGAGATTGTAGTCCATCACAGGAGGCATTCTCCAAGCCTGTCATCCTTATGCTTCTGTACTAGTCAATGGCATAGAGCATATACGGTGACAATTAATGTCCGTATACTTTATTGGCTACATACAACTAGCTACATGCTTCGTCCAGGTCAATGACGCTCTAGGTTACAAGGCCAATCATAAGAGTCTGTGTCAATGGGCTTGAGACAATAACATCAGTTTAACCCCTTCATGACTGAGCTTGTTTTTGGTTTCTGTTCGTAAATGACTGACACACTTTTGACATTTTTGCTGTGTGATTCTTCCACGTCAGTAATATACTTTCTTACAAAGTGCACCCACACATATTATATATTGTTTTTTAGAGGACAGATAGGGCTATATATTTATATCACATATGTGTGTCTAACGCCTCACTTAGCACAAATACAAATTAAAAAAAGAGGAAAAAACGTAAAAAAAAACTTTTTTTCCCAGTTTTGATTTGTAGTATTTTTTTTTAACAAAACCAGCACAGCTAAAAAAAAATGCAATACATACATTCATTTATTTGTCCCTTATTTTTAATTTTTTTACACTTTTCACTATTTTTTTTAATTTATTTACACTTTTCACTTTTTTTATACTGACAAATTTTATTTATTTAATTATATCAGGCAGTCATTGTGAATTAATCTCACTATTACTGCTTGATAAATTAATACATTTTTTTTATTATCAGGCTGCTTCAAACTTCAGAACAGCCGATAATAAGTTAGTGACACTGATCCTGCAGCAGTTCAGGATTCAGCTGTCAGTGAATGTTTCAGAAAACTTAAACATTCTACTTTCAAGAATAGATACATTATGTGTCTAATACATAACATTTTGTATCTATTCTTGAAAGTCAAAAGATAAAAAAAAAAAAAGCCAGTATAGCTTGAGAGAGATATCTCTCGATCTATACGAGCTGTCAGAATGCCGGCAAAAGCCGACATGTGTCTCTGCTTTGCTGTGACTCTCAGACACCCGATATTAAGGTATCGGGTGTCTGAAAAAGGTTAACCCTTTCAGTAATGGATCTCTAGATAGTTAGACATCCATTACTGACAGGTAACCGCTGATTCTCAGCGGTTAGCAGCCTTCTAGTGCAGCAAATAACTAGTCACGTACAGTGTACGTGACGAGTCATTTGGTCCCTTTGTGGCTGGACGTACTGTGTACGTCTCCCGTCACGAAGGGGTTAATATGCTTTTGAGCTCATTCATAATTCATTGCCAGGTACATTTGACCTGCGGTTGATCTACTTCTGACCTGCATTTGATCTGCTTCAAACAGGGTTCTGCACTCATAGACTTTGGAATAGAAAACCTGTCTGGGGCAAACAAATGCCTGTTGACGCAGGCCCTAATGATTACAGCCCTAACGTTTGCAATTTCAGAAAAAGGCAACGGAACCTCAAAGATTTCTGTTTTGACAGTTTCCCTAAAGGTTAACAGCCTATATTTTTGAGACGTGGTTCTGGAATGGTGTTTGCAGGACTCGCTAATCTCTACTAGGATCATACCTTTTATCAAAAACCAAAAGCACATCAGGCTTTGCAAAAATAAATACAACACATAGTCAAGTATTACTTGTAATATGGTACAATGGTTTACAAGAAGTTAAGAGTTTGTTGACATCCGTAGTCTTGTCTTCAGAATGAGAAGAGTCAGTACAAAATATTGTGTGTTCAAGTCAATTTTATATATGTCTAAAAATCAACTAATAAGCTTTCATTGTTGTTTATTTGCTAGGGAGAAAATATGAAGGATTAAAACGGTACGATTCCACAGGAGCCCTTACTGGATCAGAGGAATCAAACCGCGCTCCACATCCTGGAAGGTACTAACGTTTTTTTTTTGTTTTTTTTTAAAGAACAAAACAACGCCACTGTCATCAAGGTGAAGTAATCCATGGTCATCCAGTATGCTGTGCCAGCTAGTTGGCACGCATTTGGATTTATAATAACAAAATTCCTTTTTTATAACATTGACTTGACAGTATGACAGTTTATATTTACAATTACGATCTTTTGGTGCTCTTTTAACCACCTGCTGTCCGGCCGTTGTAATTAAATGGCTGGACAGCAGCTTCTTGAATGCGGGTGGGCGTCTTTAAAGGTCCCATCCCACCCCGCTTGTGCGCTCCGCTAGGCGGCGTGCACGAGTGCGAAATCAGCCTGCAATGTAAACCGGCGGCGATGGCTCTTTACATACAAGCGTTCGGGCTTCTTTAGAGACGCCCGATCGCTTGTAATAGGCGTGCGGGTGTGCTCCGCCGCACCTGAACGTTTTGTCACAATGAGCAAAATACCTGTTGCTGGAAAAAGTACATGAGCTTCTTTTCCGCAGATTACAGCTCGTTTTGTCTCCATATAGTCAGCAGAAAACGCTGGGAAACACAGGTTTTTACGTGCATTTGCGTGTGTTTTTGCAATTACGTCACAATCTGCTCATAAAAATGCGCAAAATCGTACAGCCAACAAAGCGTGTTTCTACGCATCAAAACGCTGTCGCCTAGGTGTGAATCAGGCCTTAGTGGTGTTGCCTTTAGGCTCAGTCAGATTTGCTTTAATGATGGTGCCAGACACTTTAGGCCAAATACAAATTTGCATTTCACAAGCTTCAGCATCCATTTATTGGTAAATCTGCAAATCTCCTGTTACTGCACTCAACACTCCTCAAGTGGAGCTGAAGGATGCTTGGGGGCTTTAAACAAACAAGTTTTATACAAAGTCGTAAGCTGGCCATACACTGGTTGAAAACTGGTCCATCTGATTCAACCGCTGTATGGCCCAGTCACGACCCTTCCGGTCAAAGGACCTGGACTGAACATTCTCAGCCGAACAGTGATTGCAGTTCTAGTATTTTGACACCACTGTCCGAATGTAATAGTCTGGCGGGGGACTAAAATATAAATCAGCGGTTCATAAGCTATTTATTGTATGCTAGATCATAGGGAGGAGCCTTGTCGGATACATTTGTCACACCCTTCATGAGTAGATTGACCTTACACGTCAGCCTACAAATAAGAATTTACTTTGAAATTTTTCCTGTGGCTTATTTATTACTCTGTAATTACTATCCTATTATCCAAGGTGTAGAGTAGAACTGAACAGAGTAATGTGGAACTATATGAGCAAGAGCTGGTTTAAAAAACTTTTCTTAACGTTCTAACTATTAGATAGATTTTTTTTAAATGACTGTTTAAAAGGGGAGGGCAATTATACACTTAAATGTAATATGAACATTGTGTTCTGTAGTCAAAGAGAAAACTAGAAAGACTGACATTGTTTGAGATTTCAGATTTGTGGCAGGATCAACTGGTGAAAAGGAAAATTAACACAGCTACGACATCTATGGCTAGGGTGCAAATCTTCATCATCAAAGTAAAATCTTTTCCCTGGATGTCACAATCATGCAAATCCCCCAATGTTTTTACTTGCCTCTGAGCCTTCTACTACTATATCTCACGTTGTAAATTGCCACAAGGTCATGATGTAACAGTGATTGCTAAGGGAGAGAAGACTGACTAATGGCCTCATTGCCCCTAGACATGGTAAAATTACTGGAACTAATAACTACTTTCTAGTTACACCACTACCTAATGGTAAAAGGTGCAGCTTTTTTGGAAAATAATGTCCTATATTGTCACATCAGCAATGTATTTATGCAGACTTGTAAAGATATGAATTGGTCCGCTTTAAAGGGTTATTAAACCCTCAAATTTTTTTGCATATATCTACTGCTAGCAAGCAGTAGATATATGCAAAAACTTTAAAAAAAAAACCTTTTGAAACTTACCTGTGTCTTCGCCACGCGCTCCCGTCCGAACATCTGAAGAGTCTCGGACAACCGCAAAGGATCTTGGGCGGGCGCAAGTGCAGTTCAAATATTCGGCAGGGAGACGAGGAGAGACACAAGGTAAGTATATGGAGCAGCGTGCACCCGCACAGACACCGTGGGACATCGGAGAAGAGAAGGACAGAGGAGTCAGCGTTGGATCGGAGACCCGCACCAGCACTTGAGGGACAGCTGAAAAGGACGGTAAAGAAGAAGATGATCGCCTAAAGAGGCATGATTTAAGGTAAGTCCTGACACTTACATTGGGTGGGGGAACATAGCCTTTAATATCACTTTAGGGCTTGTTCACACGATGTCCGAACCAGATCTGGAGTAGATCTGCAGACGCGTTTTGGACGCGTTTTTGCTGTGTTTCAGTAAAAAAAAACTGGAGTGCGGCTGTCAGTATGTTAGCTGCAGTGCAGTGCGTTTTTTACGCGTTTTGCGTTTCTGGACCCTATCCTGACCGGACAAAATGTGACATGCAGTATTTTTTCTGTCCGGACCTGAACGGACTGCGCACGTGAGAACTGTAGCCCATAAAACACATAGGGATACAGTGGGGTGCATTTTTAGTGCAGGAGCGCACGGATCTGGTCAGGACAGACCAGTCTCGTCGTGTGAACAAGCCCTTAAAGGAGAACTATGGGGTGAGTGCTTTTCCCCATAGTTCTCCTAAGGATAACGGGAGGACACAAACTAGCGTCCTCCAGTCACCCAAAGCTCAGTATACCGCGAGCTACAACTCGCGGTATACTGAGACGCCGCAGCCGGGGCGGATCCCGACTTTAATGTCGAGATCCACCAAGCTGCGGGATTGACAGCTGGCTCTGCCTATCTAAAGGCAGAGCCAGCTGTACCTTCCCCCTCCACCGTCCGTTCCGCCAGTCAGCGCTGGAGGATGGGACACGGGAGGGGGAGAATCCCTGCAGGGAGCTGTGAGTGACAGTCAGGACTACTGATGGAGCATCTTGAAGCAAAAAATAAAAATGGATTCCCCAATCAGCTGGGAATTTCGCTCATTAACTTACTGTCTGCTTGCAGACACCCTGACACCATTCATGTTGAATAAAATATGGCATTTATGATTTGTGTCCTTTGCATTTCTTCATGGAAGACAAATGCATCATCCATAGAAGAACGTTGGAGAAGGGCACACTATAATTAACATGGATGTTTACTTTTACTCTTTTTAGTGTTGTAAGATATAGTGAGCAATCTGCTGCTTGTAATAATTTTATTTTAATATTGTAGCTATCAGCATGACAGCCCATCTGACAGGGCCCAGATCAATCAAGAGATGCGGAAGCGACAAGAGGAAGACATGATTCAGATGCAAACCAGAATGGCTTTAAAGCAATCTCGGCTGAACTTGTATACAGGTGACATGCCTGGAGCATCTATGCTGGACATCAGTAGGGATCCCTTACGAGAAATCGCAATGGAGACAGCCATGACACAGAGGAAACTGAGGGTATTTTTTTATTCTTCCTGTACTTCTTTGGTGAAAACCTCGTCGTTCATTAGCAATAAGAAGAGGATATTATGCTTCTTGCAATTGTCTTGTTCATTTTCCTTTTCTTTTTTTTTTTTATTCAACGATGGTGTCATAAGGTTGCATGATTTTAGCATCTCTCCACCCATTTTAGTATATAAACCCTTAAAATACCAGTGCTTTTTATTATAGGTTCATGCTTAATGTTACATATTGCGTATGGTCTTATTTGTATTGTATGAAAAAATAATGGGGGGAATTTAGCGAAACTGGAGCAAAATAAATCTGGTGCAGTTGCTTATGGCAACCAATCAGCTTCTCTTTTCAGCTTGTTCAGTTAGGCTTTGAAAATGAAAGGTGGATGCTGATTGGGTGCCATGGGCATCTGCTTCAGTATTGATCAATTCCCCTCAATAACTTTAATGGGTACTGAGCTGCATTAAATTTCATGGTTTGGCAGAAGAGCTTTTTGTCTATCAAAAGAAGCTCCTATGTTAGTGTGGGAATTAATTTAAAGGGAGGTCTGCAGGGACATGGACTAAGTTCCACTTTCCTGTGCAGTTTGCGTGCACATGTAGCTTGGCTGAAAAAGCTTTGCAAATTCCAAGCTCTTAAAATAGCTATAGAAGATCTCATCTAATGACTAATTTTATGTTGGTATTAAAAGGGATCTTTAGCTAAAAAGGTAAATTCATTTAAGAAGTTACAGTTAACCGAGGAAGGTCTTGGATCTCATAACCTTCACCTTTCCTTCCAATTGATTGTTGGGTTGTCTATCCGGAGAGGGGTGAAGGACTTTTACATATAGCGAACGGAGCTTGGTGTTCACTTTTCAGATTTTCTTCTTTGATCTTCAGGATGCTCGTAATTCTTAAAATCTACTTTTTTTTCTTTTATAGAACTTTTTTGGACCAGAATTTGTAAAAATGACAGCTGAACCTTATATCTCTTTGGATCTCCCTCCATCAATTTTGGTAAGAGTCCTTGTTTGTGATGTAAATATAGAGTGGTTGTTATTGAGCGTAATTATTGCAGTTTTTATGTTAAAGTAATTTTTGTTAAAACTTCACCTTTTGACATACCTGGCTTTCAATATTTTTTATTATAGATATATAGCTTTGTACATTAGCCATTAGAGAAAGATCTTAGTGGCTGAGATTGCATCATCACTCTCAAAGTATTTGTCAGGACAAAGGGGAAAAAAAAACATATTCAGTACATTTCTGCAACACGTGCACATTTCACCATGTTTTATCTCTTTTAGAGCCCTGCAAGTACAGGAAAATACCCGTTGATCTTGCTAGAAATACACTGAGCCCCTATCTTTCTATAGTGATAGGACAATACTGCCTCTGCTGCACTGAAATCCCAAACAGTGTTATCAGCCCTGCCTGAATTCTCCCGTGTTTGACTTCAGCGCTTCTCTTACCTGTTATGAGAAGTGAGGCATTTTGTGGTCCATCAGCAAATAGCTGGACACGGCGGGCAACGGTGGGATTTTAGTGCACCAGAGGCAATGTGTTGAAGATGTTGGTTATGTGTTTAGATGAAGTACTGAGATCTTGATGAATGCTGAATTAGGTTATACTTGCTTAGAAGGACATTCCATCTGAATATATACAACATTGTGCAGGAAACGTATGGGTAGAAAAAACTTCCTGTGTATCATAGATACGTATGCATACAGAAAACTAATATTGCACTACAGCGCCATCTACAGCTCAAAAGACAAATTATCAGTATATGCTGTTGCATTTCTAACAGAATGTAAGGCGCACATGGCGTTTCTGGTAGATCACCTGTTATTTTTCAGGTACTTGCTGAGTTGCACTTAATAAGTAATTTAATTTACAACTGATGGGATAATATACAGTACAAGCCACATATACAGTTCATTGCTTTAAGTGAGTCTGCTGCTTTGCATTGTTAGTAGGTGCAGTAAAACACAACCAATGAAAAAGTAAAACACAACCAATGTAAAGCAGGAAGCAGAGCCTGCATCTAAAATGACCAGATATGGCTGCTGCCTTGCACATACATGTATAACATGAAGCTGATCATGTGTAGTTTATTAGCTAACTCACTTTTCAAGTTTTGATTTTTTTTCTTTTTTTTTAGGCCAAAAAAGGGAAAACAGATGAGACCCGTCGAAAGGTTAACATTATTCTCCTGAGCGGACAAAGACTTGAATTAACATGTGATACCAAGTCTACCTGTAAGGATGTGTTTGACATGGTTGTAGCCCACAATGGGCTTGTTGAGCATCACTTGTTTGCATTAGCAGTGTTTAAAGGTGAGTGTAGTGTTTGGCCTGATGTTGCCATTACTGTAAGACATTTTCATAATACAGTAAACTATCTGTTATCCGGAATTAAACTAACCAGAACTCTCATCTAACCAGAAAAAAAAATCCCCTGTGTACTCATTGTTCTGCTAAACTGTATTTTCCTGGAAACAATTGTGTGCCTATTTGTCTTAATTTGCTTTTGCTTGTATTATTTATTTTGATTAATGTATTTATCTTTTAATATTAACCTCTTGCCGTCCGCACGTAGTAGAAAAACGGACGGACGGCACTGTAACGTCGCAGTGAGAGCAATCATTTTAGGGCCATCAATCACTGATAACACTAAACTGATGAGCGGTAACAGCTTTTAAAGCGTCGCCTAGGGCCAATTTTGGGTATTATCGTTTTTTGAGGTTTTGCGCGCGCACGCAATTTTAAGGCTTGACATGTTTGGTGTCTTTTTACCCAACGTGACCCCGTCTTTTATATTTTACCAAAAAATTGGGTAATAATAAATGTTTTATTATTTAATATAGGGGAAACTGTTTTTTTTTTTAAATTTCGGTGATTTTTCCTTAATATAGTAAAAAAAATAAAAACCCCAGTGGTGAATAAATACCACCAAAAGAAAGCTCTATCTGTCCCCAAAAAAGGGTATAAAATTAATTTCAGTACAGCGCTGCATGACGGAATAAATGTCAGTCAAAATACCGCAGCGCTGAATACTGAAAAATGGCCTGGATGGGAAGGGGGTTTAACACCGCGGATGTCAACTGGTTAATATGAAGTCAATACAGAGTTTGGTATGGTATAGTATGGGGTATGACATTAGTTAGACTTATTTTTAATAGTAACTCTCAAGCAACCAGAAACTACATTATTCCGGAATCTACCAATTTCCGTGGATAATGGGGCGTTTACTGTAGTATGACAGCTTCCCCCGGAGTTTGGCAGTTAGGAGCTACCCTTCATAAATATTTGTTCTAAAGTGTTCCTTCTTTAATGGTATGCATTATTTTGACAATTAAAGCTGAAGTCTAGTGCAAAAAATGTTGGGGCATACAGCACCAGTAACATAATTTACCCTTAAAGGAGAACTATGGGGTCAGGGCTTTTCCCCATAGTTCTCCTTAGGGTAACGGGAGGACACAAACTAGCGTCCTCCCGTCACCCTAAGCTCAGTATACCACGAGCTACAGCTGAGACGCCGCAGCCGGAGCGGATCCCGACATCGATGTTGAGATCCGCCCAGCTGCGTGAGTTACAGCTGTCTCTGCCTATCTAGAGGCAGAGCCAGCTGTACCCGCCCCCTCCCTCGTGGTTTTGTATGTGAAGGACTCTCGCCCTGCCTTTCCTCCTCCCTCGCCCAGTCACAAAAATCCTTGTGCTATTTTTACAGAATGCAAGGCGCTCTGTGAATGGAGGAGGGAAGGATGAATGATTGGATTCCACTTTCCATTCACAGAATGCCTAGTATTCTGTGCACATAATACAAGGTGATTTGTGAATGGGCGAGGGGGGAATGGATGAGAGGGGGAGTGACGGGAGTCCTTCACAGAGTTTTGGAATGAGTGCGGTGAGTAGGGACCAGCATCACTGAAGTGGGGATTTTTAGGTTAGCCAGTTGGAATGCATGGGGTACCTAATTTTATAACTGAGAGCAGCTTGTTTTTTTGTTACTAGGGACATATTTTGTTTTGAATTGACTAAATAATAAAATATATCTTTAATATTTTGTTTTCTAGAGAACACAGCAACCCATACCCATATTACGCCCCATTCACACTGAGCGGTTTATTGCGCGGATTGACGCTGCAAAATCGCGCATAATTCCGCGCGATATCGCTCTGTGTACTAAGTCCAATGCATGTCAATGGAGCTGTTCCCATTTACAGCTCCCTTTCGCCTGTAGCTCGTCGCTTGTGCAGGACCATTTTTTGGCGCGCGATTGTACTCACCCCAATACGAAAATTCACACGGAAAACGCGCAATATCGCGCAAATGACAAACGCGCGCTTTGCAATATTGCAAGTGTGAATGGGCCCTTTAAGGTGGAGCTTCAGCCTAAAAATAGTTATGAATTGAATGGGTAAAGGATAGAGCTTCTGTAGGTTTTATTGCTGTATATGTTCCCATTGGAGGCACTTGATCTTCCTGTAACCAAGACAGGAAACACTGGGAAATCTTCCAGCAGGGGCACAAACTGCAAAAAAGAATTATAAGAATTATAACCCTTTACTACTCTTCTAAAAAATTTTTTTACTGCTCTCCATGTCCCTTTTGGAGAAATTTCCCACTTCTGTTGCAAGGACCACCTGTCTTTAGAAAAGATAGTAAAGGGCAATCTGCCAGCAGGAACATAGGTAGCAGTAAAAAAAAACTTTCCTTTCATGCCAAAACAAAGAAATCTATTTTAGCCGGAGTTTTTAGCCGGAGTTCTGCTTTAATATATATATAGGTTGCACACAGTGTGTAGATGTGTGTTTTAAAGAAGAGTTAGGACCGCACTTTATAGAGGTGCCTTGGCGCGGGTGTGCGGCTTTCACATTTTCCGCAGAAGACGTGTATCTAAACCTCTGTTTTTAACCTTAGGGGTGAGACAGGTTTTTTTGCATGCTGGCTGGTGAGTGTGCTGGGAAACTTTTTGCTGTTGTACTGTTTAAAGAAGCAGTCTCATCTTTGTTCAAGATCCAATTGCATAATTAGCATTACTTGTATCCATGCAGCTAGAACAAAAAAGGAGAGATATTTTTGTACTGTGCCCTGCACACCCTGAATGCCAGGCTCTTCTGAATAGACAAAGCTTTGACTCTTCCAGGTAGTGTTGAAGCTTAACCTACCCCCTTCTTCATCATTTCTTACTGGCCAATAGGAATACATAATAGGTGGGAAAGGTGGGCAAACTTTAGTATTACAAAGAAGTGCTGGAGTTTTGCTGGTTCAGAATGGCCTAACTTTGGAGTATGCAGATGGCAATTAAAACTGCTGCTCTAGTTACTAAAAAGCCTGTTCATAGCCCTCCAAAATTGTACTCAGACTCTTTTTTTTAAATCTTTCCAGACAATGAGTTCTTCTTTATTGATCTTGACCTGAAACTTTCAAAAATTGCTCCAGAAGGTTGGAAAGAAGATACCAAGAAAAGAGGAAAATCTGCAGTCAATTTCACCTTATACTTCAGAATAAAATTTTTTGTCGATGATGTCAGCCTTATTCAGTAAGTCACATTATGTCATAAATCAGATTGTGAAATGGTACGGGTTGACCTGTGTAAACTATAAAGGTGCATTTAGGTATGCTGCCTGGAAGACTGACAAATAGTCAAACAATGGAACAATCCATGTATAACCATGTCTATTCTATTCATCATGCAGACATGCTTACATATGGAAAATGTAAATAGGACACTTTTAAAAAAAAAATTACATTGTTGTATAACCTGTAAATGCTCGTAGCTCATGTGACATTCTTTGTACCTCAAACTTTCTCCAATCCCTGATCTGTTTCTGCAGGCACAGCCTTACTTGCCACCAGTACTACCTGCAGCAGAGAAAAGACATCCTGGAAGAGAGGCTGCATTGTGATGATGAAGCAGCCTTGCTGTTGGCATCCCTGGCTCTTCAAGCAGAGTATGGAGATTACCAACAGGAAGTATGTGTAGAAAACTGGGGTTTTTGACTTGTGTCCTCATATCGGAAATGTCAGGCTAAGCTGTCTTATACAGTTAGGAAACAAACATGTGGAAATGTATACACCATTGCAGTACTTGTATCTAGGATCATGAAAAATAGTGGTCACAATCTAAATGTTATGGTCAACACCTGGACTTGTCCTTGCCTCCACTATAAAACTCTTTGTCATCAAGCATCTATAGCAATGCCATAAACATGGCTACATTGGATTATATATTCCCCGGATGGCTAATATTTGTGGATGATAAAGTGGATTATAATTTAAAGTACAGATAAAAGCTTCTGTATGACAGTTTAAACAAGTACCAAATACAGTTACTTTGTTATGCACAAAGAAAAATCTTTTAACCTCCCTGACTGAGCCAAATCTTTGTTCATTTGTGTCATAAATGCTCTTCCTTTAGCTCACAGTGGGAGGATTTCAAGGGTTTAAACAATCTGAAAAACAGTTGGCAGAACAACATGTGGTCAGGTGCTGACTGACAGCATTGACAAACTTCATTCATGTGCTTCATTCCAGGCTCATTGGTTGCTAGAGCCCCCTGTTCCTCCCCTTCTTTGTCTCTTAACAGCTAGATTCGCCACCGGACTGCCCGCACCATGGGAACGCTGGATGTTGTGCGGCCTGGCCACTTGCATTCTATCAACCAGTGAAGTTGAATCATCGGACGGTACATCCAGCTGAGTCTGTCAAGACATAAAGAGGGGGGGCGGAACATGGGATCTGGGTGCATACGTTTAGGAACACAGGGACAGCTCTGCTGTCAGCGTGTCTGTCTTTAATAGAGTATTTTTCCCCTGTCAGTCTAGCTGACATGCCTTCTCCTCCTGCATACACAGTGACCGGGCTTATTTTGGCATTTTCATCTTGAAAGTAGCGTGGTAAAACGATGGGGGTGCGCTGTCAACAAACCTTTCTAAACAACCAGTTCCCTTAGAAAACCCGGACAAGGTGCTATTTGCACTTTGTACCCTAGGGGAAAGAGGTAAATAAAGAATGGTTTGGGATGCAAATTGGGTGATTTTTGTCATAATGGATAACCAGAACCACCAGAAATACAGTGGTACCTCGGTTCGCGAACAGGAAGTTCGACAAAATTTTGCTTCCGTTCGCGAACTCCGCAGCCGTTCGCGACAAACACAACCGCAGCCATCTTCCATGCTCTGAAACTGGTCGTGGCTTTCTCTAGTCGAGATCGCGGTCTGATCACAGTTTGACTCGGTTTGCGACCAATTCAGTTTGTGACCAAAATCGTGGAACTGATTAAGTTCTTGAACCGAGGTACTACTGTATATACTGTATGCTGTGTACAACGGTTTTTTTTTTTCTCCAGATATTTGCTGGAGATCCACTTTATAAAGTACACCATGCAGGCATTTTTACATATGGAAAATGTAAATAGGACACACTTTAAATATTGCATTGCTGTATAGCCTGTAATTGCTGGAGATCGTGTGTGTGTATATAGATAAACACACACACACACACACACACACACACACACACACACACACACTGTATCTGTATATTGATTGTTTCATGATACATTTTTAAAACACAAGGTCCATTGTTTTGTTCTAGTTACAGTATTGCTTAGTTACAGTATTGCAATACATAATATGCAATTAACAATGTTGTTACCTAGGTTCATGGTCTAGCTTATTTTAGACTGGAACATTATCTGCCTGCTCGAGTGATTGAGAAAATGGATTTATCCTACATGAAGGAAGAATTGTCCAGGCTGCACAGCACATATACAGGAGCTTCAGAGAGAGAAACAGAACTTGAATTCTTGAAAGTAATCAAATTTCTTTGTAAATGTTTGTGGTTTGTCATACAATGTTTGTAAAATCTCTTCTTGGCTTTTGTCTGATTAAAGCTTTATATAGACATAAAATGATCCTCCCAGATTTTTATGCCAGATCAGGAATCTGAATGACATGTTTTTCCTGCAATTCCTTACACTGTGGCTGGAAAGCAGTCAAGTGCAATTGTACACCATAAGAGAGCTGCTTGAAGGCTTCAGAAAACCTGAAAAGCATTGGGTGGGGATGCTCCAATTCCTGTTTTGACAGAGCAGCGTTTGGCAAGATGCAGATGTAGGGCTTAAGCAGCCTTACATGACCTGTGTATATCTTCCCAAAGTTATATAATAAATTGTATCTTACATGGGCTAATTAGGTAAACAGTTCTTTCCCTGGTTTCTTCTTTGCACCCACATCAACAAGTTTGCAACATTTTTAAATGAAACCTTTCTGTTTTTGTTACATACTCTATTTTAGACCCAGTGATCCTACCACTGGTTCTCTGCTTCTCCATAGAATGCAGACACATTATGGCTGGTGAGAGGGGTCAGCAGGGTTCTGTACATAGCTTCCTGAACGTGTCACAACACACTGCCTTAGTACTTCTCTCAAGAAATTTTAGACATGATGCAGGTTCTTGGGAGGGTTATGTAAATATCAAAATCCCTTTATGGGTGGGTGCCAGTTTGGAGAAATGAACATTCCTTGGCAGATTGCACTTGCATTTAGACTGTCCTTGGTAACGCCACATGTGATGCTGAGCCTCCATTGCTGATATAACTGATATCCAATGAATCACTGGGTGGGATCAAGATTTCTGGCGCTCATATTGTAAAGGGATCTTGTCGTTCATTCTCCCTTTTCTCGCCGTTCATCTATTCACAAAAACCTTGCCACCTATTCACTTAATGCAAGTTGTTATGTAAATGGCCACTGGTGGAAGGGGGTGGGTAAATGGCAGGGTCTTTCCTGGTGCTGCAGCGCCGGAAGAAGTGCACTGTGTGTCGTATCTGGCATCAATCAAGCTGTGATTTGTGCAGTAAACAGCTATACGGACCTAGGATAGTCCTCATTAGAGGTATTGTTTGGACTTGTTTTCTTTTTTTCCAGTAGTTCTGCTTTAGGTAAAGCTGTTTATTTTAAAAACATCTAATTATTAATAGTCAATTGCTAATTGCATGCTTGGGGCTAATGCATACTATTATTTGCATTATTTAAAAAAAGTCCAAGATAATAAATAGCAACAGAATTTTTTGCTAAAGTAAATGCAGTAGAGTGTGGAAGTCAGTCATCTATGAATCATACACTAATTCCTAGAATTGTCCTTTTCTTTGTGTCAGGTTTGCCAAAGGCTTCCGGAGTATGCGGTTCATTTTCATAGAGTGCTCCCAGAGAAGAAGTCCCAGACTGGCATCCTTCTTGGGGTATGTCCTAAGGGAGTCCTCATCTTTGAGGTCCACAATGGCACACGGACTCCAGTGTTGCGATTCCCATGGAGGGAAACAAAGAAGATTTCTTTTACTGTAAGTATGAAATGACTGGTGCCAGCAAAGAATATGTATAATCGCTGTACACAGCACACTAAGACTGTTCTGACCCACAGCTGCATATGAAATGCGTTCACCAAGTTTCCCTGCTGTGACTTTTCTATGTCGCTTAACCCCTCTTTCTAGTGTAAGCAACCCAGACTTTTTAGTATTCATTCACATTCCTTGTTCATTTTTACATTTCAATAGCAAGACATTTTCAAAGAACTTTTATTCTTTATTGCTGTGATACCAAATGTGATCTATAACCTCACAACAGGACTTATGAGGCAATTCCTCCTCTCCCATTTATACCAGTTATGATGATTTTAATAATAAAACCCTTTGTGAAATTGCTGCTTTAAATTCCCGTATTTTATTTCTTCAGATAGATGCAAAGTGACTTGCACTAGTTTACAGTAGGTCTTCCTTATTAGCAAATGTATTTAAGTCACTACAATGGAGAAGGTGTTGGAACGACTTTTGAATATTTTTTGTGGGACGAGAATAGGTAATTGGAAATCATCTTTCTGCATACTGTTTGAACCTTTATTACTTCCAAAATCAGACATGAAGCAATCATATCCTCCCTCTCATGGCTACAATGTTTTCACTCAGATCTATCAAGCAATCACTAAAATCTTGCATTTTCACTTTGTTCTTTCAACATGTTAATTATTTTACAAAGAAAACTAAACATAAATATCTCTGATTGTGCATGACACTGTGTTAAAACCAAGGACATTACAATCTAATTGGATTACGGAATGTTCCACTGCATCTGCTTTAAAGGTAGAGGATATTGTTATGAAGTGAGAAGCTGTTAAAAAACACTTAAACGCCACATTCTTTTTTGTCTTTCTTGCAAACAGAGAGCAGGTAATATGCAGTACAGGAACTGACACATTGTAACATTTTGTGCTCCATGGTCCCTGTGTGTTTTGTGAAGTAGCCACCGCTCCAAGCTCACTCCCATGATGGTGTACAATCTCGCGTTTAGTTTACTAATTTGTATTGAGACTGTAGTCCATCATGGTAGTGAGCTTGGAGCGGTGACTACTTTACAACACACACAGAGACCATGGGGAACAAAAGTAGCCACCTTCCAGAAGGAAGGACAGCTGAATGATACACAAATAAGATACATTTTTGTTAATTGTTGAGGCACTTGAATGCATTTTTTAGATTGAACTCCTGAGTTTAGTGTCACTTTAAGTTTATTGTCCGGACTAAACAAAGACAAGTATTTTTAATATTGTGCTGCCAGATTCATTTTACTTCTGTTAGTATGTTTTGGTATGTCGGTCAATTAAGAGTCATGTGTTTGGCTGTTGGATTTTTGTGTATGGAAGCTGCTATGAGCTGATGCAGCTGTCTGGCAGATGTGAGTATGGCTCATCACACTCTCATCATAACGCAAGGGTTTTTCATATGGAAAGAAAAGTATACTTTACAACTCTTCAGAATGCATCTTTAAGGAGTTTCTTTAGATATCGAAAAAACATTATGCAGTTTTAACACATTTTACAGTTCATAAAATGTCTATTGTAGCATCAGGGCCTGCGTCGTTGGGCTTTGGGCTCTGATGCCAATCCTTAATGACCAAGGAAACATGTGGGTCCCGAGGTTACACAGGTTGAGAACCACTGCCCTATAACAAAGCAAATCTTCACTATTTTAGTTCAAATCCACTTAAATAGCTTGTTGCTCCATTGTCAATAACCGCTGACGTCTGTACGCACTGTTTATTTCAGGTTCCCTTATCACCCATTTTTATTGTGCGTACTGTATATATGGACTCTGTCTACAACATTCATATATGTGTGTATAAATGTATATATATTTTCTTTAAACAGGCAAGTATCTGTTCCACCACCATAGCGCCAATGGAAACAGGCTCACTGGATGGAAATGACCAGTTACCTGAATAAACTGGTCTTAAAAGTGTTAATAATAGAACCCAGTACTGGTCTCCTTCCTCCACAGGCTTTAGTATATGTTCCCTCAATAAATATGCGAGGCAGAAAGAAGGGAGATCATCATGTAACACAGTTTATTGGAGATAGATAAAAGCATAAAATAAAAACTCTTGCAGTGCTTTGCCCATCACTAAGGACATATCTCCTAATAGTATGCTATACTATGGAGGAGCTCCAAACTACGGCAAAGTGTGTGTGCCCGCCATCTCTGTGTAATGACATCACCGCGCATTAACTCATCCCTACTTCTTTCATGCCATTGACTTCGTCAGAAGTAGTCAACGCACAGTACTGTCAGCCCTCTTAGCTATGCCCGTTAACCTTTGCATAGTGGCGTGTAGTTAGCACGACTGCCTTGCAGCAATGGTTCGAATCCCGGTCAGCCCACAGGTTTGAAAAGCTTTATTATCTATTTTTCTTGCAACATTTTTCAAATCTTATTTGAAAACAATGTTATACACAAAGTTAATCATTCAAAAAACATTTTCCAATATACTTTATCAGACAAATGAGGGTAAATAAACTTACAACAAATTAACCCTTCATATCCCTGATTAGTTTCTGATCTGATTTTGAACCTGCATTGCCAAACCAGGAAGTATTTTTTACCTGCCTAGCCGTGGAGAGTGGCAGGTGTGTGGAAATCATTGGACTGGCTTTACAGAACTACAAATATTTTGGCAGACAAGTAAAGTCATATGCATCTTAAGGTGCCCACACACCTTGCGATAATCGTACGGTAATCGGGGGAAAATCCCGCGATCGTACGATTATCGCTAGGTGTGTGGAAGGGCTGCGACCTGCTACTGTAAGGTCGCACGACTTTTATCTTAGGAACATGTTCGAAAACCCGCAGAGAATCGTACGATTGTCGGCGGGTGTGTGGCATGTTCGTAAGATAAATGCCGCACGGGCCGGTGTGCGCAAGCGCACACTGCCCATTCAGCATTGCGGTCACCGGAAGCCCTCAGCGGGGCGGGCTTGCGATCATCGCAAGTACGATCTACCTGTCAAAGATGGTCAGATCGTACGTTTTTTAAATTAACTTACAACCATCGCAAGATGAAAGTCTTACGATGGTTGTAAGGTCTGTGGCCAGCTTAACTCTTTATTTGGCTGTGCCTTGTAGAGATGCACTTTACTTATTTTAATATTATTTTTTGGATGCATATTTACTGCATAACTTATTCTTTCTTTACAAAATGTAACATTGTGATTTTTTTTTTTTTTTTCTGTTTGGCTGTAGAAGAAAAAAATAAGTTTGCAGAACACATCAGACGGTATCAAGCATGTTTTCCAAACAGACAGCAGCAAGACTTGCCAGTATCTCCTCCACCTCTGCTCTTCCCAGCACAAATTCCAGCTACAGATGAGAGCCAGGCAAAGCAGCCAGGATAATCAAGATATTGGTAAGATGCCATGTGTTTCTTGTGTCTTTTCTCAGAATCCGAGCCAGTTTTACCAATCCATCCCCCTTGCCAGAAAAGCCCATCACAATATGTTTCACTGTGTTTTTATGCATTGCAAAATGTCTTTATTATTCCATCTGCGTTATCGTTCATACTGCTTGAACAAAGAGTACATAGGACACAAGCAGGGCCGGATTTCCCACAAGGCCAACCGAAGTTCGGCCTCGGGGCAGCAGGGGGTAGAGGGGCAGCAGGGGTGTGGAATTCCTATCTCCCGACACCCGGGACATGCAGTTTCGGGCTCTGGGCGGGTAGTTGTTTTCTACATTTAGCCCTGCTTTGGGCAAGCAGGGCTAAATGTACAGCGGGGAAGCCGCCTCTTGTTTTATACAAGTGATCTTGGCGATGTTGCCGACATCACTTGTATGCAGCCTGCATATAGGGGGGCACATTGGAGAACCTGGCACTGGGGTAGCAGAGAGAGTAAATCTGACCCTGTACACAAGAGGATAATGTGAATGGTTGCTATGGGCAACAAGAGCAGTAATTTGCATGCTTTTGGTGAAGACGGTCAATATAGGTAAATGGAGAAAGTGATTCTCCAGATTAATTCATAGCAGTAAATCATTGCTGCTGATTCGATGAATTGAGACCATGCCTGTGACATTCTCATGTTTATTGACCAGCTCACCTGGTTCCAGGAAGTGTGTTTGATACTTATGAAGACCTGTCTGTGAACTTTATTTATCCATAGTATTCAGTCACATTCAACTTGACTTGTTTTTAGACATTTCACCACTCATCCAAATGGCTTTCTCAGTTCAAATGCCTATCAAGAATTTACACTAGCATGTATACCCACATGGACAACTTGGTCACCTTAATCCAGTTACATTGCCCATGTGAGTACAAATGCTGGGATATGTTCCCATCACTGCTTTGAACTGAGAAAGCCAATTTGATGAGTGCTAAACAATAATCAGCATAACCTGTAAAAAAAATCCAGTTGAATTGGAACAACTACTAAAGTGAAGATCTATTTTTCTGTTCAACCCTTCTGACTTTATAGGACTGACGTATTAATCTTCCACCCAGCTTAAAGCTTGGTGAATGCCACTTGCACGGCATTACTGCCACTAGATGGAACCAAGACATGTGACATTTCGAAGAGTCCTGAGAGCCCCAGCAGCTGTTTTTTTGTGCCCATAGGAATGTATGGACAGAATACCCTGTACACAGGTTTGCACGTGTGCCAGCCTTTACACACTCACGGGCCTAAGTTTCTGAATGCAATCATTTTGCATTAGGGAACTTATGTCCATACGTATGCATGTGTAAATTCCAGTACTTTTGTTTACATGCGTATACTCTTGTACAATGTATTATGTGCATGAGCCTTTAGAATGGGTATATGTTGTAGAGCTTCCATATTCCTAGTCCTTGGAAGTGATTAGTATCCATTATTTATACTGCACCAACATTTCTTCAGCAATGGCTGGCCTGTCACCAATGCCAATTTGAGTATTGTGTTTTCGTTCATGGATATTAATATTGTTTAGTCTTATTTATCAAAGTGCTCCAAATAGCAGCACACCTTTATTTTACATAGCACATATTGATCAGTCAGGTGAAATGTGATCAACTCACCATGTTTCTATAATCTGCTTTATCCACCAGAAAGAGCATCTCTGAGGAGCCTGAACATCCAGGCAGAAACTCTGCGCGGTTTGACCATGGGCAGGGCTATTAGCACAACCAGCCTGGCTAGCAGCACATTAAATCGAATGGCGGTACGACCTGTGTCCATCCAGCCTGATCTTCTTAAGAGACTATCTTGCTCAGACCTATCAGCCCTTCAGACACACCTAGGGAGTGGGGGAAAAGATAGAAAGGCAAAAAACCCTTGGGAGGACAGACCCCGGGTCATTAGCAAATCTTATCATGACCTCAGCCAGGTTGCTCAGTCACCCCAGCGGAGAATGCTGAACGCCAGAATGGATAATCCCCCAAGCACTCTGGAAGAACTGATGAGCCAGGCATCCTTTTATCAAATGGCTAAATCGGATACAGAGTCAATGACTACATATGGAAGGCTCAATGAGTAAGTATTGATCATTGCTGTGGAATGACTGAAGTCAGAACATTGGGGGAGGGATATGAATATTTATACATGTGTGATTAACTACTTTGTTTACTTGTAGTCCAAGTTTTGCACATTGACTATAAAGTAAGAAATGGCTAGTGCTGCTATGTATGTGATATGCACACAAACACACACACACGCATCAATAAATTTAAAAAAGTCTTAAAAGTGACACTATACTCAGGTGTTAAATCTTAACTCTTACATTCAAGTACCCTAACTATTAACAAAAATGTATGTGTGTTGTAAAGTAACCACCGCTCCAAGCTCGCTCCCGTGATGGACTACAATCTCAATACAAATTAGTAAACTAAACGTGAGATTGTAGTCTATCACTGGAGTGAGCGTGGAGCGGTGACTACTTTACAACACACACAGGGACCATGGGGAACAAAAGTAGCCACCCTCCAGAAGGAAGGACAGTGTCAGCACCAATTCAGAGGATCTACAGCTGAGGGATACACAAATAAGATGCATTTTTGTTAATAGTTAGGGAACTTGAATGCATTTTTAAGATTCAGCTCCCGAGTTTAGTGTCACTTTAATTTTACCTCTCATTTCTAGGGGAAAAAGAAAAAATCTTTTGTTGCTTGTGAATGCTTGTAAATTCTCATTATCTTTCAACCACTTGCCAATCTATCTCTAGTGTGCAGTCACACTAGTCTTAGGAAAAGATGTCATAGCAATGTTCTACTAAGTTCTAGCCTCTTGAGCATTGCCTTACTCCTCCCATGCTCCTGGCTGTGCTGAGCCAGCTTTCTTTCCGAGGGGTTTCTGGCTGCAGACCAGCGACGCTCAACCCCACCTAATGTATTTGAACATGAGATATTATACACATTATATGGAAGAGGCATCATATGGTGAGCAAGTTGTAGTGACATACAGTAAAATAAACAATCTCTGTGATTCAAAACCTTTTGTCAGAAATTCTTAGTTATGGCAAATGTCTTCACTGTTTGCATCTAAGTACTGACCCGGTCACAGCTCTCCATAGAAAATGGGTTTTATGTTTAATAGCCTGGTTAAATGGTAAGTATTCGATTAGCAGGTCACCATGAGGCTCCAATTAAAATATCTTAAGAATCCTTCAAAGTATTTTGTCTCATCTTTTGCTTTCTGGCATGGATTTTTCAGAACTAACCTTTTGTCTTTCTGTTTTGCTTTTCTCTAGGTCCAAGTCATTCTCAGGATTTAATAGGAATCCAGATATTCGGAAACCTGAGTCAGACTCTTCCTCTATGGATGACAGTGGTCACGCCTACGTTGTAGGTCAGCAACATAAAAATTGAATTTACTCTAGTTATACTGACATGTGCATAGAAAGACAATCAGAGCATTGTGCTCTCTACCCAACACTGTACAGTTGAAGCTTTAAAGTGTATGTCTGGACAAAATAACAAAAGACATATGCAGTACATCTTTGCAATACATACACTTTGCCATATGCTTTTTTTTCTTTTTAAAACACTTACAAGTACAGAAAATACTTGTTGCTCCTGTCAGTAATCCAGTGAGCTCCCTAACGTCCTGTATACTCTGTGCTGCACTGAAATCTTAAGCAGTGTTATCAGCCCTGGACAGTTTTCAACCAAAGACTATAGAACACTTTCCCCTTTTGTTATTAAGATGTTGGGGAGGAGTTCTGTAGTTCAGCAGGAGAGAACTAAGCAGTCTGATAGCACTGTTTGGCATTTCATTGTGTTCTCAGCTCATACAAGAATTTAGGATCTCACTATCTTTCTGGCACGTCGACTGGTATTTTTCTGCACCTGCAGTGTTTTTTACCTACTTCCGGGCCACAATACATCTATAGACGGCGTCCCGTTAAAGTGGTTAAAACAAGAACACTGCTGCTGCAGCAGCCGTGTTCTTGGTAACGCTTGTAACAGCATGCGATTGCTGTTAATGTACAAGCGATCCGGCGTCGGTACAGCCGCCGGATCGTTTGTACCGTGCAGCTACCGTGCTTTTAAAATCCCTTAACTTTTGTATGCTTCTGACAATGAAATGATACAGTGCTTGCTATTTTGCAGGTGTTAGTATGCATAGCCTTGGAAGTCCATCCTCACCTAACCTTTTTAAAGGAAATGGTATGTAAAAGCACTTATCCAATGCACTATAGAAAATGAAAGTATAATTCTGTTGATTTCATGTTGGCATTGTCACCTTTTCCATTTGCATAATTTTTTTTTACCTACAACATGAGGCATGTAATACAAGAAGCTTTAAATATAGCTTAGCAATTCCTACAAGCGGATAGTACAGAAATATTGGTTTTATCTTTTTAAATTTAAATTTTAATAGCCTTTTTATTTTTAAACCCATCTCCGGAATGGGGAATTCTGCTATGCTTTCACCTTTAGCTAACCCATAGTTCTCTGGGATTCCTTTATCATGTATTGATTGACTATTTGAAAAATAAAGTTTGTATATAGATAAAGTGGTCCTTGCACTATAAAAGGCAGGGTCCACCTTTTACATCAGATCTCTTTCCTTCATCTAAAATCGCTGTTTGCTAGTCGTAAAACCAAACTACAAAATATGCTTACCTTCTCCTTTGCTTCCTGCACGGCACCTAGGTAAGGGTGACATCACAATTCTTCCATCCAGATCTGGGAACAATTAAGATCCCAGATCTCTCAAGAAGATGCCATCTGAGTGTCATCTTGTGAGATTTATGATACCCAGCTTTTCCAGGATCTCGGCAGGGGGATTGTGAGCTCACCCTCTGCAGTGAAAAAGCCAATGACAATGTAGGTTTATTTATTACTATCATATAAGGATTTGAAATGAAGGAGGAAGGCCTTTAAGTGCAAGATCTGCCTTTAGAAAAAATTGATATAAAACAAATATACACAGAAAAACACATCTAAAGATTTACCCCAAATCCATATAGTTCACCATTTATACCATACATTTGCTGGCAATTGTAATTACTAATATACCCGTTCTGCTGATGTTCTTACAAAACATGGTTAAAACATGCGGCACTAAAACATTGTTTTAGTGCCGTATACTTTTAATAATTTTTTCTGTATTAGTAATAGCTTTCATTTTAAATAAATAAATGAGAAAAGGACACCAAGTACACTGCAGTATGTGTGAACACCAAGTACACCCAACTCTTCATGTAATTGTAGTAATCCAGACAAAAATACATTTTATTCAAAATATGCCAGTTTGAGACAATATTAGCAGCATTTTCCTTTTTCACATAATTTGAACCCTTTAAGTAACATGCTATAGACTTGGGTTAGCTGTTAGCCTCTTTCAAAACAAACTGCACTGGCGTGAAATTGTAGAAGTGCCGAGATCAGCACTTCCTATCGACCTCAGGAATATTTATTTTTCCTGTGTGCTGAACAGAAGTGTGAAATCTTCCAGAATTGTACAGGAGAGCCATTTTTTTTTCTATAGTAAAATGAAATTAGAACTCTAGGAGGTATAGTCTAGGAGATTTATCTGCCATCGAACAATGTTAGTGTAAGCACCACCTGTACTGGAAGCTGTTTGTCATTCTGTATTAATATTTCGAAGAGAAGGAATAGGCAAGGGCACGACTTCTGGAGGTCATTCATAGAATCTCTCTGGAATATAAAAATGTTCAGTGTGCCGTTGTTAACATTCTTGTGGGTTTACTATTCCTTCTGCAACACTCTGGAGTTGCTTATGTAACACAGATCAGACTCTTTTTTTCTTTTTCTTAATGATTTCCATCTTTAGCTAAGCCATCTTGTGTTGATCTGCGTTAAACCTAGTCTAAAGGTTATTATTCTTCAGTGTCTACATTCCTGCAAAGATTCTAGTTATTGTATGTGTACCATTCGAGGTGCACCAAATGTATGTGCATAAAAATAAAAGTTTTTTTTTTTAATTTTTTTACATAGAAATGTTTTTATAGATCTGTCTAGATTCCTGCTAGGCGATTGCCTTTTTTGTATCTGCCATTACTACTGGGTGGTAGGCAGCCTTTGCTGTCCCACAGCAACATAATGGAATAGGAAAATTACATTTCCCAAAACACTTTCATAAATGAGGCCCAGTGTAATCTAGGTTAGTAAGAATCTTAGAGATCATGCCAAGCAGGTAAACTGAAATGGAATTTATACTGTAGTATGTTTTCAGTGAGGACATGTATTATGTTATTATGGCGTTACTAATCTTAATTTTTTTATGCCACCTGCACAATTATAGTCATTTGCTTGTCTCTATTTTTGTTACTGTATTAAAAATACAGCTTTGTAGAGTAGCCACTAGCCACTATTGTCTGCCACATACAATGCTGTTTTAGCACCTCTCTCTGGGCAGCTTAATAACACCTCCTAGATTCCAATTATGCAAATACAATCAACAACTGGTTGCCACTAACAGATTATGTGGATTGGAACAACATTCAGCATATGGATGACCAGTTAAAGGTCTTCAAGAAAAATACAGCAAGTCCAGTTGCCATGACCTGGATGAATGAGAACCTTCACAGACACTAGAGGGAGCTTTGTATTTCACTTTGTGCTTAAAGAAGAACTCCAGGAAAACCTTATCAACTGCTCGTTTTTGTCTATGCTTAAAAAAAAAAAGTTATATTCGCCAGAGCCAGCTTGTTTTTAGACCGGTCCTTCCAGCCTCTCTCCCCCTCCTCCGCAGCAGTGTAAGGTCCCGTAAAGTTTTTTTACAGTGTGTGTAGAAGTGGGGGGATGCTGAGAAACATTCCAATGCTGCAGTGTAGGAGGAGACAGGCTGGAGGGAGCCCTGTGACAGCTGGCAGCCCAGAGCTTTGGGTGAGTATATCTTATTTTTTAACCTAGACAAAAAAGATCATCTGACCCTTGCAGTGTGGGGGGGGCTTGTCCCACTGAAAGTCAAATAGACAGCCCCACTGCCCTCCTGACCGAGAAGCCCCATACAATGTGGGGGGGTGCTGAAGTGGCCGCGGATGGCGCTGCCAAATACTTGCAAAACAGAAAAATGGTCACCAGCACTCCAGGTTTTCTTCCAAACGAAATCCTGGTGCATCCAGAAATCCGGATGCATGGTGATATGACCTGCATGAATGAATAAAAGGATTTTGTTTGGAAGAAAACCTGGAGTGCTGGTGACCATTTTTCTGTTTTGTCCCACTGAAAGGGTTATTAACTTTCTTTAAACCTGAACACCTAGTAGATATACACAGATTAATGCAGCTCTGTATTCGTTAAGTCCTCATTCACATGGACCTGCACAGCCGTGCAGCGTACACCCTTGCGGAAGCTTACACCTGGGAGGGACAGGTGCTGTGTGTAGCCAAGTGCAGCCGCCTGTCCAACTCAATGACAGGACACGACGACAAGTCGACCCAAACTTGCACATTCGTGCAGGTACAAATACACGCCTTTGGACGCAGACATAATATGAGCAAATGGGGGAGAGCAAAATGAGAAGTCTGCTGCTTTTTCTTTTGGTGTCTAGTTACAGGCTGGTGGGGGACAAGCGTTAAAATGTAGCAGAGAAAAATTAGGGCTCCTGGCCTAACGGACAGTGCTGTGCTATGTGGTAAAGCTGCAGAAATCTGAGGATTGAATGGACAGAAATACAAATTCTTTGTCGAATAATAAGAATCCCATCTATGTATTTAATCTGTGTATTGAGCGGGTTCCGTGGAGTTCCGCTTTAACAACTGTTGAGGTAATGTATGGGCCTCTGTAGGGAGTGGACTATTTTGAGTCTACCTTAAAAGAACTGTCAGGTCTCTAAATGTTTTAATCCAGCAGGTCCCTGCATTTGAAGACAGTGTATACCTACCTCTCAGGTGGCCATTTTTTCCTTCCTCTTCTCTGTTCCAGCACTGGAGCCTCAGCATTCGACACGTTAGGTAGATAGTTGAAGAAAGGAACCAGCATGTGACAGGGGACAGAGGCATCTGACACGCTTGGAAGTGTTAAAAGAGAACTAAAGCTTTCTTTGGCTTTAGTTCTCTTTTAGGTCACATGAGTTTATTTACTAATGTACTCCTGTGACCCAAAGTCAGCATCTTGTGGGCTACTGCCTGATATTTGCTGACATCGCAGAGCGGCACTGCAGTCGTTGAGAAACCTACAATATTGTCAGGATCCACCCCACTGCCTGATTGACAGCTGGCTCTGCGTCTCTAGAACCAGAGCTAGCTGTGCCCACCCCTCCCCTTTCTGTCTCTCCAATGAGCCCTGGAGGAACAGAGAGGGGAGGGGGGAATCCCTGCGGATAACAGTGACTGACAGTCACAACTGTCAACAGGGAGAATACCGTGAGCTGAGCAATCAGCTTTTGTGATCACTCAGTTCTCAGTCTATAGAGCCGGTATATGACAGTTGCAGTGTTACACGCCAACTCTAACTATTGGAAAGAATATAGTTTACTCTCCCAATAGGTCTCCTTTAAATGCCAAAAAGGAAAATTCTTTCTCCTGCCTACAGCAGACTGAAACCTGCTGGATTAAATGAGCTGACAGGGTCTCCTTAATATAAAACAATTATTTTTCTATCTACCCTTGTTGTTGTGTATGTTGTTGCGCCAATGTAGGTAGCAAAATTGAAATACAGATATATGTCCTGCTGTATATTTTAGAAGCCATTTATGCCAATGTTTTGGTTTTTATACTTTTATTTGTGGTCTTTAATAAAAAAAGAATAAAGAAAAAAAAGTGTTTTTAAAAATGACACAATAAGAGCTGGTCTATTTTACATGTATATAAAAAAAGACTACTTTCCCTTTTAAGATACCGAGAACCATTGTGTTTTGGTTTTTTTCAGTTCATATAAAAATCTAAAAGGAGGCAATGTCACTTTTGTTCATGCCCACATGTGTCCCATGTGTAGATTTTCATTATCTTTCTCATTTAGAGGTTAGACAGTGTCATTTGTGATTTATTTTTATTTTTTATAATAATTCCCAAGTGGTTTGTTGTGTATGTTGTTGCGCCAATGTAGGTAGCAAAATTGAAATACAGATATATGTCCTGCTGTATATTTTAGAAGCCATTTATGCCAATGTTTTGGTTTTTATACTTTTATTTATTTAGAGACAAACCACATAGTTGTTTGTTGTCCCTTATTTAGAAATATTCAGGATACCATTACATAGCATGTTCCTTTACAAATGTATACTTTTAAAGGAGAGATTTAAAATGTAAAAAGAAAATTAACAAAATAGGAGAAAAAATTGTGCCTGATTCTAAAATGTGAACCAGGTCAGATACAAGGGGTCTTGTTTCCCATTGCTACCAATAAGATGCCATATTTAATGCTGAACTCCAGGCACAAAAACAGTCTTTTAATTCTAAATTTAAATATTCATCCGCTGTTTGTATCCCATAGCTTTGCAAACCCATTTCATAACTTGCTGTACATAGCCTGTGCAGAGCTGTGGGAGAACCCAGTAGGCCCCTCCTACTGCAGAATGACTGCAGATAACTACAAGGGAAGCCGATACAAGACCGGTCACCCGGCACAAGTTAAGAGGGGAGCAGTGAGTGGTCTTTCTTACAGGAAACTCCTGCTCAGAGGAAACGCTCCCCGCTGAATTACTACACATATATGGAAGACATGCAAAAAGTACACCAAGATTCAACTAAAGCTGGCCATGCACTTTCCGAATTTTGGCTGGTTCTTGATGAACCAGCTGAAATTCGCACAGTGTGCTCTCTCTTCCCTGTCGCCACTCTTTGGGCTCGCATCCCTCAATCAGCTGATCGAAGGAGTCGGTTGGAAAATCTTTGAACGAACAGAGGCGGCAGCCAATGAGCTGGCCGCTGTAAGAACACAATGAAGACAGCGAGAGATTCCTCCATCAACGCTTGTAAACGTTGATGGAGGAATCTTTATATTTTCTTCAGCCCAGGGGTTGAACAAAGAATGTATTACAGTGTATGGGCAGCTTTAGAATACACAGGCCTATATGTAGGCTATATTTACTTATTCCAGAGTTCAGCTTTAACTATCCCAAGGAATGTAATGTAACACCATATTGGTTATTATGGCAAACATCCTTGTTCAGAATACTAACTGTATGGTATTTGCAATTGTACACATCATAAGATCCTTTGCTTCAGAATCAAACCTCAAGTAATGTCAGTTGATTGCAAACAGTTTGCTAAAATGGTTAGATAATTGTGCAAAATGGCAAACACTGTCTTCTGTAATTAGTTTGGATGTACAACACACTTCTCAGAAAGCAAATATTGTCAAGTACATTCCTTGTTGTTTCATGTATGTCTTCACTATGATTTAACAGTTTAACTCTATCCTTAGAAAACATACAGAGCAGAATGCTGGCTTCTACTCCTGAGAGAGAGATCACTTTGGTAAAGTTGAAAAAGGATCCCAAGTATGATCTGGGTGAGTTTTCAGGTTTTTTTTAACATGTTTGATACAGTTAAGTTTGAACTGTAAAGCTTCTCTCCGTAAAGCCCATTTTCAGCCCAAGCTTTTTTATTTCATTTTGAATTGGTTAGAGCCTCTGCCAGGTTGTTATTGCAGTCCATATAGTCAGTATGTCCTGTCAGTACTGCAAGTGTTGGGAAATCGCTCCACAAGGACATAGTGTGAGAAAGAGATAGAACTTCTGACTGTGTCTTTATTGTTGGCCATGATTTCCTGTCCCAGTGACAGCTACACCCTCCTTGTTTTGTATGAGTGCCACTAAAAAAGGCAGGAAGTGAGGGAAACTGTCCCCAGTGAGCTCACAGACGAATGCAAACCTGGCAAAGATTTTAACCCAAATCTGTTCAAGTGGGGAGGTGCCACTATGAATACTAATGAATGGGGCGGGAGAGAGAGAGCTCGGTTTAAAGGGTATTTAAACCCTCGCAGATTTTTGGATACATCTACTGCTAGCAAGCAGTAGATATATGCAAAAACATGTTTCTAAAAACTTACCAAACAGGTAATTACTTACCTGTGTCTCCACCGCGCACTCCTGTCCAAAGATCTGAAGATTCTTGGGCGGCCGCAAAGGATCATGGGGCAGGCGCATGTGCAGTACAGATGTTTGGCTGGGAGACGAGGAGAGACACAAGGTAAGTCAATGCAGGCAGCCCAGCAGTGTGCACCCGCACAGACTCCGTGGGACACAGAAGACGCAGCAGTCAGCGATGGACTAGAGACTGGCACCAGCGCTGGAGGGACTGCTGAAAACTACAGGAAAGAAGAAGATGCACCAGCATTGGAGGGGGGAGATATTTTTTTTTACTTTAATGTCACTTTAAATATACAAAGCAAAACAAACGACAAACGCACTCAACAATTTGTTACCAGTTCTACAGTAAGGTGCACACGAAATGGGCTTTGAACAGTAGAACAGTAGAAAGGCATCATGGCACACTCACAAACTAGCATGTAAAACAACTTGTCTCACCACTAAGGACAATGACAGAGGTTTGGATACACGTCTTCTGCAAAGGATGTGTAAGCCGCACTGCCGCGCCAAGGCACCTCTTATAGTGCGGTCTCTAAATAGTTTAACTCTAAACTATGAGATGGGGCGTCCTCCTGACAAGCCTGCACCCAATTTGATATCTTCTGCCCCATGTGCTCCAAGATGGAGACTCTCATAGTTTAGAGTTAGGACCGCACTATAAGAGGTGCCTTGGCGCGGCAGTGCGGCTTACACATCCTTTGCAGAAGACGTGTATCCAAACCTCTGTCATTGTCCTTAGTGGTGAGACAAGTTGTTTTACATGCTAGTTTGTGAGTGTGCCATGATGCCTTTCTACTGTTCTACTTTAAATATACACACACTGCTTGCAGAGCACAGAGGTGGCCATTTCCATGAGAATATGAAGAGGAAAGCTAAAAAAAAAGTACGTTTTTGTGTTCATATACAGCAACTGCATATGCCTGCTTCAAGTACACTCGGTGTACATTGCTGGCATATGGTTTTTTTTTTACAATACTTCCGCAAAGGTGGAAAAGGGCTTTAAGCTTTAACAATTGTTTTTGGATTGTGTTGATCAAAACAGCTGATTGGCTTATTTAAAACCAGCATTTTGTTTGAGATCATACCCTAAATTTTAGGGATTCATCCAACTACATGGGCAGAGAAGTACAGCTGACAAAGTGATTTATTTGTGGCAAATTTGTGACCAGTCTGTAGCATATTAAAAGCGAAGTATTGGGAGAATAAAGTGTACTCTTCCCAATACTTGGAGTCGGTGTGGGACACTGCAGCTGTCACATGCCAGTTCTCTATACTGAAAGCTCAGCGATCATGTGACTGCTGATCACTCTGCTTACAGTCTTCTCCCTGTAGAGAGCAGTGATGGTCGGACACCAGTCCCTGCAGGGATCCCCCCCCCCCCCCCCCTTGTCTTCTATCGCTCATTGGAGAGACAGACAGGGGAGGGGGCAGACACAGCCCTAGAGAGGCAGAGCCAGCTGTCAATCAGGCAGCAAGAATGTTGTTGGGATCCTTCCTAGCTTTAGTGCAGCTCTACTCTATCAGCATATAGCAGGCAGAAGCCCTCTATATGCTGATTTTGGATCACAGGGGTACATTAATAAATATACTCCTGTTACCAAAAAGAGAAGTAAAGCCCCAAAAAAAGGCTTTGCATTACTTCTCTTTTAAACCGTTATTTATTATTAGTTGTTAGAGTTCTGTATCGTTGTTTGTAAAGTCACCACCAAGAAAGCCAGGATTTTATTTTTTTAGGGCTGTGGAAATTAAAGATTAATTTCTCGATTAATCGTTAAACTTTTTGATCGATTAAAATTATTTTGATCGCTAATGAAAATGCTCACCTCTCCGCCGGCTTCCGGGAGTCCCGTCGGCGATCTGGTGACGCTGTGCTAGATTAGTGTGATCCTAGTTCATGTTATTACTTAATTGCTGTGCTGTATGTGTATAGGTCAATGTAGTTGGATCTGTATGTGCGTTATAATTAATCGATTTAAAAAAAATTTGATTAATCGAACACGAAAATTGTAATCATTACCAGCCCTAGATTTTTTTCATGATGGGTATATAGGTGGTAAATGATTTGCCACACCTCTAAGGTTGGGTTCACATCTAGATTAAAGCGTTTTTGCGCATATTTTTGAGGCACGTTTTTATGCACATAAATCAAGTTGCGCGTTTTTGTCAGCAGATTGCAGCTCATTGATGTTAATGAGAAAACTTGCGCAAAAACACAGCAAATGTGTGTTCAAGCGTTTCCTATTGAGTCTATGGGGCCAAAACAAGCTGTAATCTGCCAAAAATAAAACTCATGTACTTTTTCCAGCAACGGGCGCTTTGCTTATTGCGACAAAACGCTCAGTTGTGAGCAGGGCCATAGAAATGAATGGGATTTTTCTTTTGCCATATTTTTTGAGCGCATTTTAGGGCAGAAAAAGCGCTACACAATGCTCAGCCTTATACATATGTATCAGCAGAGGGCAGTATACAATATATTAGAAGAAGGGATTACTTAGATTTAAGAGAAAACCTTAGCCTAAAATTTCAGTAGGCAAATTTTGTACATATTGCTGTCAGCCAGGGTATTATTCACACGGCATTACTGTGAACTACATGCTGCATGTCTCTTTCCATATGCCACACTTTCAAGCTTTTTAAGTCTAGGAGAAAGGTAAAAGGCCGTAATACTTCATGTCCTCCTCGTTCTGGATAGCCCAGACATTCTCCTTTTTTCCCGGACACCCCTGGCTGTGAATGGTCCCGCAGCATCATCACATACAATGCAGGGATATTAACTCTGCTTTAAATGTGGAGGTGGCAAGTTTGCAGCCTCAGCCAGAAGCACCTTAGAGGGGAAGCTTCTCCAGACTGGTCATTCAGATGCAGTGGAACCTGCTGAAGTGAGGAATAAGGCATTCCTGCCTGATTCTCTGCCTCTAAACATTATGAGCAGTTAACCTTTGCAGTTTGGGGGTGAGCATTGCACGGGTAGATTTTGACTAGTTCCTGGGGTTGAGCTTTAAAATAGAAATGCTGGACTAATAAAAGAAAAAAATATACTGCATCCTCCTCCTTCCCAGATGAGTCACAGTATATTATTCCAGGAAAAAGTGGCTGCAGAATTGGGAGGCCCCCTGCATATAAAAGAATACCCATCAACAACGCCTTCAGGGGTGTTAATTACTCCTAAGCCAGGATTTTCACACCTTATGTTAGGGCACCAAAAGTGTAGGGAGCCTTATGCACATTCACTAGAAGGTGTGTGCTTTTGAGAGGAAGCCTTGTTTTGTTTCCTTTTGAAAACACACACAGACCCAAAACTGACTCTCATAAGTACTGTTGTGAGTGTAGCAGGGGGACTACATGCTTTGCTTTGCATCTTTTTATCTTTAGGGTGGCAGCCTGTATTCCTGGTTGGTTTGGTATCTCTGTGTGAGGCATCCAGCCCTTTAATTAGAGCAATTTTTCCTGATTTGTTTAGGCTTCCAGATTATGGGTGGAGAGACAACAGGGAAGCTCGACCTTGGTTTATTTATTAGCTCTATAACACCAGGTGGACCTGCAGACGTCGATGGACGTTTAAAGCCAGGTAGGAGTTTACCAAAATGGTTTGCCACAATGGTAGGCTCACTTTTATTGTGATATAATAACAACTGCAAAAACCTAAAATGACATGTTCACATCATTCCAATTTAATTTCTGCAACAAGCAGAATATCAGTAAATACATTCATACACCATCATGAGACCCACCTGATGGTTTGAAGACCAGAACGTTGAGTCCTACCAGGACTGGATTTTATACTTCCATACTTCCAGCCCACCTAGGAGAGATGTCCTAGACTGGCACCTTGGCCACACAAGGCACACTGAGACTGAAGACAGAGAAGCTGAAGGCAGACTGTTTGCCCGCTCTTTGTCATTAAGCTTAAAAGGAAAACTATAAGACCAGGGAAAAAGGTCTCCTTTTTTTGCCAGTAGTTCGGTACAAGTGTACTCCACAAAAAAACAGAGATGACCTGGCCAAATTGCAGAAGCAGACAGGACAGCAGCCTATGACCTATTATTATGTGCAGGAATTTGTTCAGCAATTTGTTCACGATCAGCAACGTGATTTGTGGGTGGGTGTGTACCACTTCCAGCAGCCCTGCCATTCTAGGATACAGACTATGATAACAATGCAGAGATCCAGTCCGGCCTGTCATGCAGACAACATTACTGCATCTGTGACCTGTACAGTGTTTATTAATGCCTTACCATCAGGCAGATGTACATATCAAACTGAAATTTCCTTCTTTGACTGTTTTTTGTTGTTTTTTTATAACATTAATGTACCCATGCAGTGGCCTGTCAATGGACCACATTACTAAAAATGTGAAAAACTTACCCAGATATGTGATTTCTAGTAGATAATAATAATATTTTTTGTGTACAGGAGATCGACTGATATCTGTGAACAGTGTGAGCCTAGAGGGTGTCAGTCATCAGACAGCAGTGGACATACTTCAGAGTTCACCAGAGGATGTTTCACTTCTGGTGTCTCAACCAAAGGAAAAACATCAACAAGGTATCCATCCTGCTCTCTGTTATACTCTGGCTTGACTTGTGTTCAACATGGTGCAAGCTGTACATAACTGTACCTGTTACTAGACTGTTGTTAATGTAGGAAATGCAGCTCTTGTGCATGTGGTTTCTTTAGTAACGAGGAAAATAATATGGTTAGAATGAATACCTTAACCGAACATGAGAAGAGACGCATATGACAGACAGTTCAGGTTTATAATGTTAAAGATATTTAAACCCAAGCGCAATATATTGCAGCATACTATTACTAAGATGTGGTGGCTTTTTTCATGCTAAGAACAATTTCAGCAAGTAAATAAAATATCTTGCATTATTCATTAACTTATTTAACTTATCATATTTAACCTATCAGTTTTATATTCGTACTTTCACCATATTTATATGACACGTGTATTTATTAACGTCCATGCACATATGCACTTTTGGATTGCATTTAGTTGCAAGAAGGCTTTGATCACTTATATTGGTTTCGTTTGTGGTATAAATATAGCACGTATTGCAATACCAAGCCTCAGCACACTGGTTCACAATTGATCACTTCGATAGATATTGCTGCAGCTGGATTATAATCTTTTGGATTACATTTTTTGATACTTTGATATTTTTATATTTTTGATACTATTATATCTTTTCCTATTTTTTCTGTATTTTGGTTTTTGATTTTTTCATATATCCTAGCGCAACTACCTTGGTCACCATAAATAAAATATCTGTTGATCTTACCTGTCCATGTCACTTCTTTTGAGATTATATGAAACCACAAATAATAATATTTTACTTCTGTAAACTACAAATCTTTCCAACCCATATGTAATGGAGATGAAGAGAGGAAAGTATATTTTCCGACCTAGGTGACAACCATTGCTTTTTCCATAGACACAGTGGAGAGAGTGAGTATAGCCACCCAGGGACAAGGAAGTGTGTTATGTGTAGGATTGCCAGGTATAAATAAAGGAAAAAAAGCTTGGTAAAAGAAAACTAATGCAAGCTAAAACGACTGGTATGTTCCAATATATTGCATTTTTTATTTGAATTTAGATATAATTTAATTATATCTGTTGGGCCTGTTTTTACTATGCTCTGTAGATCACATAGGTTTAATAACTTTTTTTTTTAGATCATCAGCTGAATGGATTGAAAAGCCTACCTCATGGACCTTTTTCCAGTCAAGGCAATGAAGCAGAGTCGTCTTCAGAAGAACACAGAAAGGTTCGGAGTCATGTGAGACTTCTGTCTGGAAGTTCGTCTGGAGTCTCTGCTGGGAAACGGGAAGGAAGCCTAAGCTCTCAGGACTCGCGGACAGAGAGTGCAAGCCTGTCCAACAGTCACATCAATGGCCTCATCAGGAATCTGGCAAAGGAGCAGACCACTCCCTTGTCCCAGTCTGCCAGAAGCTCTCCATCAATTAGTGCTAAGGTCAGTGACAGAAAGAAGGCTCAAGGAGACAATCGCAGAGGAAGAGGAAAGCGAACGGGTCTTACGGACTCCACAGATTATTCTGATAGAGGAGACTCTGACATGGACGAGGCCACCTCTTCAAATAGCCACGAACCAAGGACAGCCAAGAAGGTTCTTTAATGTCAATACTGTAGATTACAACACACGTATTTTATATTTGTATTCGTTTATCAATAAAGTAACATTTTATTGTCTTTTGTGCTTTTTCCAAAGGAGTCAGTTTTGGGGGTTCCAGCACAGAAGCTCAGTACTAACAAAGTTTCAACAGTACCTTTGAAACCAGGCGATATCTTCACAGTTGTGCTGGCTAAAAAGGATGACAGCTTGGGTATAAGTGTCACGGTACTGTTTGACAAGGTTTTGCGTTTTTCTCCTTTTGCTTTTCCTGCATGCTTTTTGTATTGTTGACTTGTGTAGTATCAGCTCAATCTAGTATGTTTGCAAATTTTCTTATAACAATAATTGGCTGTAGCACAAATTGTTAGATGGACTAAAGAAATGCTTTTTAATGCTGTTGCTCAATGACTGACTCAGTTTGTCTATGTTGTTATCATGTGATCACTTTCACTGTGATCTCACCAAACTCGTGTCTTTATTTTATGATCTGTTGTACTGACTGTAGGTGGATAACGGTGCATACTATCAAATTAAAATACCTTTTTCATAGCAGGTCAAACACCGAGCTGTGTCAAGCATCTGCATTCTCAGCAAATTGAGCATTCGAGTGTTGTCTGTTTCCAGTTAAATTAGTTGTCTGCTGCTTATATTAGCACTATAACTTGCATAATAGCATGTCTGTTTGCTCAAGACATTCCAAACATTCCTGTAATATACCTAAGCTAATTAATATATCCAGTCCTTGATTCTGCGCCAAACCCTTGGTAGGTCGGGTAGCTTTACCTCTGTTTACCTTTTCAGTGATATACACATTGCAGTCTTGTGTAGATTTATAGCAGATATTGTTCTTTGAGAGCTATTCTCATTTCTTAGTCTTGTGTTTTCGATTTTCCCAGAGACCTATGGGGCTACAAAAATGGCCTCATCATGTGTTTCCAACATGAGCATTTAGTCACAACCTCCAGTTCATATATGGGACATAGTTATGAGTTCCTTCTGTTGTTAATTAAATGCCTATGGCTATTTGATGTATCACAGACGTCTCCTTTTCATGTGTTTTTGCTGTTTCCAGTAACACTTCCAGCTGAAAACTAACCACGTACTTCTGGAAAAAAGTTGCGTGTATTTTCAGCTTATGCGTCTCCAAGCAACTAGCTTAAGTATTTCTTAGGCAATCTTTGGATTATTACTGTTTGTTGCTTTATTTGCTCTAAAGCCATTTCGTATCTTGTTTCCTTGTTGGATACTAAATCACTTTATCTTTGTTAGCGATCAGTTGGTATAATGAAATCTTTTGTGGTTCAGAAATACCTTTCATACCTGTACCTGTACTTCTCAGTCCATCTGTCTTATTCATTTTCCCAGCCGTTGTGCCATAGATAATTGACTGCCAGCAAGCCACATACATTTAGAATGGGCTGATTCTATACAGTTCTTGGTTAATCATGTAAAATTAATAAATGTATGCAATTGGCTTATATTTGGAATATAACTGCTTGCTTTTATGATCATTTTCTCCAGTGCACCTTGCCTGTTTGAGCACACACTCTCCTTTTTAAAGGGCCAATTAATCTAAAACACAAGTTGTTTGAAAAAGTTTATAACATTTAGATATGTATCTGGAACTTTTAATACCTTTAGAAAAGTGTTAAGATTTTGCACTTTATCGCATTTTTAGTTTAGCTGAGATCTCATATTTATTTTATCAGCCATTTTTGGCTGACCAGAGACTTCTGCAATATCCTGTATGTAAATACTTACATAATGTCTGGAGCATTTTGTAAAATTACACCTACAATAATGCATATCAAATGTCAGTATTTAGTATATTTATAGCATTGTTAGACAAGCCAGCTGGTCTTTTAGATGTTTTGGTCCTTAAAAGAGTGTTTTCTTTCTTGTTTTTTTAAATATGTGCTGATATATGAAACCTGTTAAAAAGAAAAGTGTTGCAGTTGCCCACAACAGCCAATCAAATGCTATCTCTCATTCAATGGGAAAATTAAACAAATATCTGAGTGCTGTGGCCATCTTCTGCTCCAAGTTTCTTTACTGAAAGTTTCATATTTGAGCCCTATAATGACTAGATGTAAAAACATTCCCTGTGCTCCCCTTTCTAAAGATTAATGTAAAGGAGCTCCAGGCATTGGATGCCAGCATCATCATTTGATTACATATGTATACAAGGTTGTAGATAACCAATGAGAAATGATTTGTAATCTTGTGATCTCTGTCACCTTGTCTTGGCTTGCACAGTGTGCAATGTTGTCTTAAAGGAACACAAATCCCTGTATAACTATTGAAGATGTGGTTATAAGTCAGTATCAGTACATATTGAAACAAATGACATAACAGCCAGGAAACAAATATTTTAGGAAGAGGTCAGTAATGGCAGCCTATGACTGGTTTACAATAAAGTAGCCCTTTACTTTTTGCTGCAGTGCCGTCCGTCCGTTTTTTTACTACGGGCGGACGGCAAGAGGTTAAAGAAACTACTGCCAAATATGAACGCTTCAACTTCTAAGTAATTCTCTGGTACAAAGGTTTTGCTCCAGTGTGTCCCAGAAGACCTAGGTTTTCACTGTTAGGAGCTACTGTTTGAAATTTGCACATTATAGCAAGGGTGTGGTCCGGCTTTCAGTCCCAGCCCATATAGCCACCTCTGCCTCTTTTTATAACAATTATTCATCCCCGATCTCTGCAGGGCAGTAGGCATATACTGTATATGCATTCAAGGGAAGATGAAGATCTAGGCTTAGCTTTTGACTTTTGAAGTCATAGTTTCATTTTAGCACTAGTTCTGTTTATTCTGCTTAGGCCACATATTTTGGGAAGGAGGACAGAGCTGATTACGAGGGCCATGTTACTTGTTTAGAGAAGGGATGCACCGAAATCTCAGCCACCGAAACATGTCGTCTGCAAAAGGTACTATGGGTAAAATGCAGATAATACCAAAATGGCTGAAAATGCATCCGAAAACTCAGTGCATCTCTGGATTCCCCCCCCCCCCCCCCCACGCGGCGGGGCGCGGGTCCACCC